AGAACATATATATATATAGTATATGAGTATATATATATATATATATATATATATATATATATAAAATAGTTAGTAAGGTAGTTGTTAAGTTTAGGTATGGGGTATAATTAAGGGATCTGAAATATGATCATGCAGAATAAGGCATTAATATATGCTTTATAAGTACTAATAAACAGTAATATGCATGCTAATAAACAAATAGTTAATAGTGAGAATTGGTCCCTAAACTAATGTGTTGCCATTTTTTTATTATTATTATTTCATTATTTTATTTGCCTAGCTGATATAAAACCATTTTCATTTTGATTGTTTATTTTATTTTAAGCAGTCGTAGTTTTAGTTAACTATAATAACCCTGCTCTGTACAACCAAGCCATGTGGCATAAGCATAACAGTAAGTATAACTGAAGTGCATGATTTGTCTGTATCTTTGACTATTGTATTTTATTTTGCTTTCTATCCAGGTAGAAATATTGCATAACAGCAGCAATGAAGAGAGGGTTGTGTGGGTTGGAGTGCATGTCTGATCAGCAGTGTGTGTGTTCTCACCGATCTTTGTGAGGATCACAGGTGTGACCACACTCTTCCTCTTACTGCCGTCGCTCAAGAGGGTGGAGTTGCCCGTCGGAGGAAAGAGTTTGCCGTTGCGGAAGGCCAGCAGGTGTAGCTTATAGACGGCTTCTTCAGCCTGACCTGAGCTTGCCAGAGACGAGAAGAGCGACGGGGGAAGCTGGAGAGACGCCTCCACTACAGTGTTCTGCAGACGTGGAGATGCAACAACGTTACTGTCAAAACTTGATGGATACAGTCCTGCTTCCACAGCTTTACTGGAGTTCTCGCTTTGAAGCAGCACTGGCCTTATAAGTTATGACAAAACAACTGTATACGTGCAGGAAGTACCTGAGACGAAATGCTTACTTTGAGAGCCAGTGCAGACAGGTTGCTGGTCACGTTGCATTTGAAGCTGAGCTGGCGCTCCGGGTTGATGTCGGGGTCTCTGGGAGAGAAATGGGCCACGGGTGTGCGCTCCGGTGAGAGCTTCTGGAACAGAGTGCAGGTCATTCCATTGAAGCTGCTGGCCTTGATGGCATGAGCCTCCAGAGCAATGTTATGAGAGTTCTGGTGAAACAAACAAGAATAAAGAAGAATGGTTACCACCCCATACACACACTACTGAAGCACTGTGAACACAAGGTCACCTTCAAACTAATCTATACAACCTACACCTATTTTTGTTACTTTTATTCAGTGAGGACACATTAAATTGATCAAAAGTGACAGTAAAGTAAAAAGTAAGTGTCAAAGCATTCTGGAGGGTTTAGAAACAAAAGTGTGTAGCTTGTTTTAATTAAATTATTATTCCATTTTTATTCAATTATTATTTTTGAAAAATGTTTCTATTTAAAAGGAATTCATTAAAGATTTAAAAAAAAAAACTTCTGGAATTCTGAGAATTCTGCTTGAAACTATATATAAAAAAAAACATTTTTGTTAATAGAAATAAAGCAGACATAAAACTAAATATAAGTATTAGATAAAAAAACTACATTTTGAAATGTTGCATTGCAATTAACTGAAATAAGTTTGTTTAAACTAAAACAAAACAAAAACTGAAATACTATAAATTTAAACCATTTAGAAATATTGCTAAAACGTATAAAACTATTTAAAAATATTGAAAACAATTATAATAAAAATGACCAAATCATATAAAATTAAACCTAAAGCTGAAGACCTAGGTAACACTTTATTTGAAGGTGTCCTTGCTACACACGTTACATGTACTTACTATTATAATAACAATTAATTATGCATAATTACATGCAAGTAACCCTAAGCCAGATCCTAATCCTAACCCTAACCGTATAGTAAGTACATGTAGTTAATTAATACTACTCATTATTAAATGTATAATTACACTGTAACAAGGACACCTTAAAATAAAGTATAACCAAAACTTAAAAATAAAAGCTATGAAAAAATTGTAATAAAATATAAATATTACTAAAATATCACTGAAAACATGAACAGACAATTTAAAACAGAGTAGTGTCAAAATGCACAAATGAACTGATTTTCTCTCAGTACTCACAGTAGAATAGGCCAGAGCTCCATTACTGATTCGGAGAACGGCAATTCTCTGCAGGCACTCGACGATACGTGAGCAAGCTCGCGCCTCCCTCTGAGCCATCCATAACACTCGCTCATCAGCCAGCATTAGATTACTGGAGATATCCACCATCACATCTCCCAGCTGAGAGAGGAAATGCAGTTAGAGACAATGCATGCACATCCACCCGCCCCACAACACCCAAGATCCCTCCAGGCCCACATTATACCCACAAACACACTGCATACTCATTCAGTGCACTCAAACCTCTGACTTTCTCACAACTGCATTCCTGAAATCAACAAAACCTGACATCACACTCAGAAAAATGTTAATGAGTTAATGCTTTTAGGAAGAACCGGGGATTCGTCCAACATTCCCACACTAGAGTAACTGCAAATGATATCAGAGATCAATGCTGAAAGCGCTGGAGCGCTAAACAGCCTGCTCTTTGTCAACTCAACGCAACCTGAATTCCTAAAGAAAATTACATAACCGACACACAATTGCAAGGCAAGTCAAGTTTATTAACGTGCCCATGCAATTTGTGAGATGTTGAATGATGGTACAGATCTCTGCGCAGGTGTTACATGATAACATTTCCCTTCAACACTGAGCGAAGTGCAACCTGATCCTGAAGAATAGGCTCTACGTTCCTCTGTGGCCCAGTGTCCAAATCCCTCCATTCTGATCCTATCTGCTCCTCTCCTTACTGATGCAACTGTAAAAGCCTGTTTGTTCTCCAAAGAGGAGAAGAATCACAAACCGAGGTGGCGAACAGTAACGTCGCTTTAAATGGGCGGTTCTCAACCTTTCTGACTCCAAGACGCTCCACTGTAACATTCAAAGATCCTGTGATTAAGGATTTTTTTTTTTTTTAACTCAAGGTCTTCCAGCTAAAATAAATATTAGGCATTTTAAGTTAAGTTTAACATAACAGATTTTAGTATTCAACAGTGTTATTGTTAACTTTAACACTGTTTAAAATCCTTTTCAGTAATTGAAATAAAGCTGAAATAAAACAATTATTAGAAGAAAAAAAAAGGCATTAAATTCAATTAGATGCCAAGGCAACATTTCGTTTTTTCTTTTTTTTTTAGTTTGTTGAAGTACTAAAAATAAAACCAAAACAGAATTAAATTAGCAATAAAAATATTATAAATAAATATTAATATTTTAATATTAAATATTCAATAAATATTAGGCATTAAGGTTTTAATTTGAATTATTTTTCAAATCTAGAAATCACACTTTTAAAATTCTGAGAATTCTAAGACAATTAAAAAAATAACTGAAATAAAATAATATATTTTAATTTGATGAAAAACTTAGATGAAACCATTTGAAATTCAAAATTCAAAATGCTGCATTGGTAATTAACTGAAATAAGTTTAAGCTAAAATTAAACAAACAAAATTACTACATTTACAATCTTTTACATTTACATTTACAAAACTAAATTACTAAAATACAATACTAAAATTACACTATATTATATACTTATATATATATGCTAATAAAAACTACAGTATTATATAAATATCACTAACTATATTCTCTTTTTTAAATTCTCAGAATTTTTTTAATTCTTCTAAATAGCCAGGTTTTCCAAGGTGGTCAATAAAATAACCTTGATTATCTTGATTTTTGGCTTATTTTAATGGTTGTTTTGTCATCTTGAGGCCCCCGCTGCTTTAAATGGCCTGGATCTGAGGCCTTCTGTGATTGGTCTCAGAATGATTTAAGTGTTTATGTAAGAGAAGCTGATCACAGATCAGTTAAAATGTTAGACTTTTGCGTTGCACAGAAAAAAAAAAAAAAAAAAACATTATTCAGAACAGCCCCTTATATGACTCGACTTGATTTGACTCACCTCTTTATACTTCTCGGCAAACTTGCCGATTTTTTCAATCATCTCCGCCACAAATATCACATCCACTTTGTCAGAGAAGTTGGGCGCCTCTGCGGTGTAAGCCAACAGCTGCTGCGCCGTCTGAACCGCATTGGTCAGATTCAGAGGCATCTGACATACGAGAAAAGAAATCAAAGTGAAGCCAGGAACAGACAAAGAAGAATCAAACACATCTGACATAAACCACTAAAAAAACTGCATGATAAGAATTACACACAGAATACTGCATTGCCCGATACAAAGTTACAGTTATCTACCTGATTGATGATATAAAGCACACGCGTGACGTCTTTCATATATTCACAGCGTGAGTAGTCGTCCTCTGCCCACTGTCCACTGCGGTCACATCGCCTCCACGCACGCAGCTCTTCCGCCGAGCTGCCCGAGTAAATGCCAGCTCCGCTCACCTGCCGCTTACAGGGCAAGTATGCAGTAATCCCAGCCAGTGTCCGAGGCCATCTGCATACAGACACGTCAAACACGTTAATGCACAACAAAGGAGAACCAATTTGTCTGTGATGTTGCATGATAATAAATAGCCTTAAATGGGAATAAACTTGTCTTAATTCAATCAAATTTGCAATAAGTTTTGAAAAAATAAGTCTAAAAATAAATGAAAGCTTGTGCCATAATATTTATCACTTAGATCTGTTACCACTAGAGCGCAGCGAAGAGCTAAAAAATAAGGGATGCTGAACATTTATGTATACACAAATGATTCAATTATCTTGAAATCTATACTAATCATTTGTATACTGCTTTGAATATAGCCAATGTACATGGTGAGCAATCATGGTTACTTTCAACAACTTTCCTCATGCAAAACTTGGGGTCAGGAAGATTTTTTATTTTGAAAGAAATTAATACTTTTTTTTCAGCAAGTATGCATTAAATCGATCAAAAGTGACAGTAAAGACATTTACAATGCTACAAAAGATTTCTCTTTCAAACAAATGCTTTTCGTTTCAACTTTCTATCCATCAAATATTTGATTTTATCAAAGACATTAAGCAGCACAACTGTTTTCAACATTGATAATAATCAGAAATGTTTGTTGAGCAGCAATTCAGAATATTAGAATGATTTCTGATGAATCATGTGACACTGAAGACTGGAGTAATTATGCTGAAAATTCAGCTTTGATCACAGAAATGACATTTTAAAATGTATTACAATAGAAAAAAGTGAGCATGAGAGACTTTCAGAAACACTAAAGTCTTAGCGACTCCAAACTTTGAACACTAGTCATCAGATGTGCACTAGACTCACCTGTAGTCCCCCTTGTTGTTTGACACCCGATCTGGCAAGCAGTATTTGGCAGAGCTCTCCAGAACCACGATGTGGACCGTCCTGGTGTTGTTGCCTCGACTGGTGCGCACGCGACACTCCCAGTTCCCGGTGAATCCCGGTTGGATGTTGGAAATGGTCAAGGCGCTGTGAGAGGACAAATCAAACGAGAAAAAAAACTGTTGCTCTGGGAGAAAAGTCAAGATTATGAATTTAGTATGCAGATTTAATATTAATCAGTGTTGTTGTTAATTAAAACTAAAAGTAACAGCAAAAAGCTGGTGAAAATTTATATATATATATATTAGTGCTGTTAAACGATTAATCGCGATTAATCGCATCCAAAATAAAAGTTTTTTTGTTTACATAAAATATGTATGTGTACTGTGTATATTTATCATGTATATATAATAAAAGTTTTTTTGTTTACATAAAATATGTATGTGTACTGTGTATATTTATCATGTATATATAAATACACACATACAGTATATATTTTGGAAATATTTGCATGTATATACATTTACATATTTATATTCTTATATTTTATATAAATATATATAATAAAATAAAATAATAAAAAGCATATGCCAAAATGACTAAAATAAAAGGAAAAACTATTTTTTTTCCAATTAGCTTTTATTTTTATAAATACTATAACTGTGTAATTAATACTGAAATAACACTGGCATTCAAACTGATGCTTTGGCAGGATATACTGTTGCTACACAACCTACATTTTTCTTTCCTTTTAGAACAATACATGGCTTTTTTTTTTAAGTTCTGGCATTTTCCAGCACAATGTTGGTAGATCAAGTGTGAGTTTATATTTCAAGTATATGTATCGTCACGCTCCAAGGCAAACACTGTTCACAGTGTGATTCATGTATATCTAGTGTGCAGAAAAGCCATTCTGCAGTCAGTATTGGGTTTGGTATCTCCTTCACAGCTGGCTTCTATTACCTGGCTATTAAAGAGCAATTCTGCACCATGCTTTTCTCTATGTAGATGCCCTGAGTGGCATCAGGTTCCACCATCTTCCCGTCCTGATACCACAGAACCTGCATGTCCTCGTCCACGAAAGAGGCCATGCACTGAAATGGCAGGCTGTCTCCCTGGAAGACGATCTGATGCTGGGACGGAGTCATCTGGAAGGAGGGAAGCTCTAGAGGAGCGTCTAAAATAGAGAAGGGAGAAAATCAAAAGAGAGAGGAAGAAAAACACTGTGGTGAGCCACAGATGACTGCTATGTGCAAAAGCTGACATTAACGAGTGATCCGAGAGCAGTTTCATTGTAGTTCTTGCACAAGCTATGGTTACAAAAGTCCAAAATCAACATAAACGGGAGGCCTGAACCCAGGCTGAAGGTCTTTTATAGCAGGATTACTTTGCTTTTGGTGTACGAGAGTGTCTGTATCAGTAAAAAATTAAAACTAACAACAACCAGGAAATCAATGGTTTTGAGCTTTTTTTCAACAACTAAACATGCATTTCTTTTCCACTATTAGCAACAGTGTAATTTTACTATAAAGGTTTAGAGATTTAACATGCAATATGTCACAGGTCATGGAAAGCTATGGTCTGGTTACTCTTATCAGACTTCATGTTGCACAATGTCATTAAAATATAACAAAATAAGGCACTTACTCATTTAATCTAGTTTCTGTTTGCTAACAACGCAGGCAAAACCTAACCTGTTTGCTCCTGTATGCAGTGTTGTTATTGTTAACCAAAAACTATTAAAAACTGACTTCATGATGTGAAATAAAGCTGAAATAAAAGTTAGATGGAAACCTAAACGAAATAGAAAGGTTACCTTAGCAACTAAATGAAATAAAAATTTAATTTAAAAAAAGAAAAAAAGAACATTTTAGAAAAAAAAATAATAATAAAGCTGAATAGACTAATAAAAATGACAAAAGCACACCACAAAATTACTAAAACCTAAATTAAGATTAAAAGGAAAACTGAAAATATATTAGTAAATAGAAATACTATAATAGTGTGTAAATAATACTAAAATAACACTTATTGTCAGAACCGAATAAATGTATTTAATAATTATGATGAGAACAATAATATATACACACACACACAACAAAATTACTAATATTAAAATTCAAATATATATATAAAACAAAATTATAACACAACTAATCCTAAAATAATACTTTAAAATAAGCCTAAAAACTAATACAATACAAACAGCTAATTCAAAATATTAAAAATAAATACTATAAAAAACAAAAATAAAATAACAGATTATCTGAACCAAATCTTACGTATATTTAGTGATTATAATGAGAAATATATTTTATACATTTAAATAAATGTAAACAAATGATTTGTTATTAATCAATTTACATTTAAACATTTTACAAGAAAATAAAATGTAAAAAAATATAAAGATATATTAAGAAAAATAAGAAAAGTAGATAAATAAAAGAAAGTGAGGTTTAGAAAATATCATTAGTTTAGTATAAAAACAACAGAAGTTAGTGGAAAATCTGCACTATGATAGTGAGTGTGTATTCTTACCACAGGTGAGTGTTTCGGGCCTGAGCGAGGTTATCAGCTGACCCTGTAGGGAGCGAGGGAACGAGCAGCGAGTCTCCTTCACCCCGATCACCTTCTCTTTGATCCAGACCACCAGCCATCGCAGGTTACAGTCGCACAGAAGATAAGGGCTATCAAACTCCCTAAAAATATATACAGCATGTTCAAAAATCATAAAAACTACAACAGAGTGTGGGTCAACGGATGCATTAAAGCTAGGTCTGAGGGTAAACTCTGGATGTCTCCTATCCAAGCTTAAACATGTTTGAAGACATGCCAAGTGTGATGAAACCTTATCTCAAGTGTTTAAGTAAACGAATATGAAGCTTGTGAACAACACAAGCACTAATCAGTTTTAATAAACAGCAGTCTGCTTTTTATTTTAGGTGTTGCACATGCCCATTTGTGCTTCCTTTGCAATTTTATGTGCAAATGATGCAAATCAAAACAAAACACTTACAGTATTTTCAGAGAGCCGAGGCTGTCGAAAATCCCTTGAGACAGTGAAGAAAACTTGTTCTCCGAAAGGTTACTACAATAAAAAGGGGGAATTAATGAGCAAAATGTACTATGCTAAATTTGAGTAATTGAAAATGAGTAATTTTTGCACTGAAAAACAGAAATCACAAGTGAATTTCACAAACAGTTACAAAGGAACAGCAAGCAACACATTGAATTAAATGTGAATTTTTTTTTAGAACAACTGAAATAGTATTTTCTTGTAAAATTTACTCCAAATAGTCTTTGTTTCAGGGTTATTAAAGTTAACTAAAACTAAAACCATAAAACATGTTACTTGAAATAAAATAAAATATCACTGAAATGAGACAAACTTATATATAAAATGTATATTGTATTTTATTATTAAAATGTAATAAAAAAAAAAAAAAAGATATTGTATTTTTTAAATTTATATTGCATTTTAAGCTAGTTGCAACATTTCTCATTTAGTTTATTTTGATTTACTAAAATAATACAAATACTAACTATAATAGATATTAATGAAAACTATACAGAAATATAAAAAATAACAACTAAATTACTAAAACTTTAAAATTAAAATAAAAAAAAAAAACAATTCAAAATATGAATACAAAACTATAACATTATCACAAAGAAACTAAAATAACCCTGCTTTGTTTTATTTACAACTTCAAAGAAAAAAAAATAATTTTTACAGTGTAGTTTTATATTGCTTGAGTGTCTTGAAAGGTGCTGATAAATTAAATGGATTATTATTAATACTATTATGAAATATCTCACATTGCTCTGGACATCTGTGAAAACTGTGCTAAATTATTTTAATATTCCGTGGACAACTTTCTTTACCACTAGGGAAAAAGTGTCATATCTGTTGTCTAAAATGTCAGGAAAAAAAAAAAACGGGACTGTAATTCTGGTTAGGGTTGTGATGGTGAGGAAATTTTACCAGTTAATCGACGTGTGACAACACCGATAATACCGGTATCACCGCGGGGGCGTTCCCTCTTTTTCTCGCTTTCCTTCGCTTTTAAATAGCTTGTAAAAGCGGCGTGCACATTTTACTTTCACTTTCAAATTGCGGCAATTCGGAGTAAAGCAGTTGTTTGTTTTTAGTTCGTTTGAATTTTCCCTCTTTTCATCGCTTTTAAATAGCTTAAAAGCGCCATGCGCATTTTACTTTCACTT